GTTTCTCTGTGCAGTTTGTCTATGTACAGCATATGCTGTTTATCTTTCACTGTTTCCTTTGACTCAATAAATTGTTAAGCAGTTTTTGTGACTAATGCGCATGCATTTCAGGCATGTACAAATTGGCTTCTGTAAAACTCATTCTCTTTAATCAGATGTACTGCTTGGTTGAAAATTGCCCTGATATTCACAAGTGTGTGTGTGTGTGTGTGTGTGCGCGCCTGTCTGTCTGCGAGCCTGTCAGTTTGTGTGTGTGAGTGTGTGTGAGAGAGAGAGAGAGAGCCTGGCAGAGTGTGAGTGGGTAAGTGAGCGTGTCAATGTGTGTGCTAACTTTTTTTTTTTTTTTAGCTGGCTCCTAGATTCCAAACAAATTAGTCAAACCCTGTCCCATGCCATTTGATATTAAACCAGCTGCCAGAAGTATAGGTTTTGCAAATGCAGCTTTGACCCAAACTGACTTAGCAGATTAAGGCAGGTGTGTGTGTGTGTGTGTGTGTGTGTGTATTTAAAGGAGTAGGAAAACCTGCCCTGACAGCATCCAATTCAAGAACATCTGCTCTTAGGCGCAATGTGAGTAAGAACAGGATCGAGCGCATTGTGCCTAGTAGGCCACTTTTACAAAACAAACTTTTTACTCAAAAAAAATATTTATTATCCCATTTGCTCTACAACATTGGCGAAAGCAATTTCTGAGTATTTATTACAATAAAAAGTAGCATGTTTCATACATAATGCACGTTTACACTTGGTAGGACAAAACAACAAACATTGGCTGTGCCTGTTGGATCAGTTGTGCCTGAACGAGGGTTAAAGTTCCCTCCCTACCCCACAATACATATGTTAAAAATGTATTACAGAACTATTCAGTACAAACTAGTTAACATTCAAGTTTTTGGTTTGTTTCTGAAAGTCATTTTAAAATTCCCACACACAAAACATGTGAAAAGCCATGTAATGGCTAAATGTGTGTGTTTCCATGGTGACTAAAGCCAGTTGAACTCAGACCTGTGGAAATGGCTGATTACAGAAATTCTCATGGAGCATGTTGATAAACACGAATTAAATGAAAGCATAGTACAAAAAAAGTGAATAAACCAAATTCTTCTATTTGATAAACTTTTACCATGCTAGAAGCCAGTTTATGCGATTCAAGTGCTTTAAGTTTGTTAAAAATATTTTTAATTTTAACATTCAGTGTTACTAGTATTTGTTTTGGGTACTTATTTATTTTCTTTTAATTGTTTGGCATTTTACATGCATGTCTAATTTAGTCATTACAGCAACTCTCATTAGTTTGCCAAAGTGGGCTTTAAATTTATGGCATGGAAGGGGTGATTGTTAGTATTTTTTGCCAACATTGCAAACAGGGATCAAAATTTCAAGTTGTATGTTACTTGCTTAGTCTAGAAGTTACTCAAATTTCCTCCTGTAATGTGAACAGCCTCCCTGCCACAAATGACTCATGCACTTCATATTTGTAGTCTTTACTGCTGTACCAATGTCACAGTATGGAATGCTATGGAAATTAGAGGAGAACAATATATATAACTTTTTAGCCATATGTTTTGTAAGCAGTTTGGCTTGTAATAATATATAACAAAAATAAGGTTAAACATTTCATCAGCAGTGCAACGTATGAAAATGAATCCTTGCAAATTAGATATTCACCCCTGAGGATACCGATATATTTTGAAGTGCTTCTGATTAACACTTATACTTTTTGAACGCACCTCAGGGCCGTCTTTAATAACGAATGGACCCTGGGCAAGTGTTTGCTTGGGCCCCCTGTGCCCTGCCGCTCTCGCCCCTCACTCCCTGGTATGCAATCACGGCATCCATCCCAACGCAGTGGCGGTACTAAAGTAGAATGAATTTTATTGGGACCCCCAATTGCAAGGTTGGACTAAAGGTAGAACCCCATCTGTCGTGCAACTCCAACAATGCTTTGACAGCTGGGACTCTACCAATTTCCCATGCTTGCAGGGTTGTATTTAGCACTGAGCCATGTTAGTATGTTTGAATGTAAGCATGTGTTTGTATGGAGTATGTTTGTGTGAATGTGTTTGTATGTGGTACTGGAGTTTGAATGCAAGTGTGCATTTATGTGTAGTGTTTGTTTTTGAATGTAGGAGTGTGCTTGTATGTAGTGTTGACGTTTCAATGCAGGAGTGTGTTTTATATGTAGTGTTGAAGTTTGAATGGAGGGGTGTATTTGTATTTAAAGTTGCGGCTCAGATGCACAGGTACACACTCTGACGCACAAGCAGATACACAGATACATACACTGACTACATACAGATAAACAAGCACATACACTGACAACACACACACATACATACATTACAAACACACAGACACATACATACACACACACATACAAACACATACAAACACATACACACATACAAACATACATACACACACATACACACACATACACACACATACACACACATACACACACATACACACACATACACACACATACACACACAAACACACATACATACACAAACACACACATACATACATACACTAACACACACAT